AAGAAGAGGAAGAAGAAGGAGGGGAGGAAGAAAGAGAAGAAGAAGAAGAAGAAGAAGAAGAAGAAGAAGAAGAAGAAGAAGAAGAAGAAGGTGAAGAAGCCTCTTCCTTCCTCTCACCTTGTTGATTCCTTGGTGTTGGTGTCCTCTTGATGAAGCTTCCTCTCCTTGCACAATCCTCTCTTGGCTATGGCTTCCTTCTTCTCCAAGCCCTTCTCTCCTCCTCCCTTGCTTTCTCTCAGGCTATGGCAAGCTCCCCCAACTATGGCTATGAAGTCCTCCCCTCTAGGAGGGCGAATGGGGCTCCTCTAGCCTTTCCTCCTCTCCTACTGCCAGGAGGGATATGGCGGATCACCTTCCAAGTGTCTCTCCTACCATCACTATCCTCTAGAGTCCTCTCCACTACCTCCTAGTCTCCTCTAAGCTCTCCCACTAACATGGGTTCCTCCCCTCTCACTCCAAGTGCAAAGGTGTTCCTGTGAGCTCACTTAGGCAGCATGGGCACTCCTCATGCAAATGTGAGAGTGGCGGACTGCATCCTTAACTTATGTAGGCTGAAACCAGCAGTCCGGCCAGCCCATGAGCCTCCCCTTGAGCCTTGAGGTGAACCGAGGTACCCCCAAGGCAATATTCCCTCACTAGGCCCTCCTGGAGATACCTGGGCCTCATTTTGGCTAAGTACATGCAGTCCAAGTGGTTGGTACCAACTTGGACTGCCTCTTGGCCTACCCCGACCTCTTTTTAATTGCTCAAATGCTGCCCCCTAGGGTCCTAATGCCCAAGGGGCAGCAATAATTGAAAGAAAAAGGTTCTCAATTTTTTCAAGTTTCGACCTCTTTTGAGTAGGCCGGAGCATTTTTCCATATGGCGGCACATTTTCAGCCTTGGATCTGGCTGAGATCCAGGGTCGGCAATAATCTGAGCTACCCCCTAGTAGCCCTTGCTTCAACTTTGAGCCCCTAAGTTTAGTTTTTCAATTTTTGGTGCATCTGACTCTCTTTTTGGGCCAAATGCACTGTTTTGTCATTTTCCCTCTTTTGTTTTCTTTCCATTTTGGGCTGCCACCTCATTCCGGAGCTAGCCGTTTTGAGCTGGCCCACAAAAAACGGCTAGTTCCTCTCTACCATGGGATCTGATCTCAGATCCATGGTCCAAAAGAAAACCGGTCACTTCCTTTTTGCATTTTCTCTCATTTTCAGCTTTTTAATTCAGATTTTATTACCCTAAGGGCCATATCTCTGCAATCCTGATTGCCCTCCCTCATTCTAGGAGGGATGAGGTCACTGTTGGGACTTGCCAGTCCCTACTGTGCAGGTCCCAATAGGCCGGCACACTCTCCTCCACTCTTTTCTCCCTTTTTGTCTCATTCTCCCTCCTTTTTCTCCAATTTTTCTTTCTTTTTCTTTTATTTCTGTTGTGACAAGTGTCAAAATGTTGTGCACCCTCTTTCTAGGCCCTAGGGCCTTATTCAAGGCCAGGTCTATGGCTGCTACTTGGCCGTTACATCTCGGATTCCAATAATGGCACCCCCATGTTCCTAGGGGGATTCATTTTGCTCCCGTTTGCCCAATTTTGAGTCTCTTTTGCTCCGATTTTCTAAGGGCAACCTTTTTCTCATGTTGAGCGTCTCAAGGCTCTATTTTCTTATGCCTTGCTAGTCCGAGATATCCCGGGCTGTTGGGCAGCCTTCCCAACATCCTTATTTCATTTTTCTTTCTCTCATGGCTCTCCCACTTGCTCCCACTAGTGCTTGCACTAGTGGTGCTAATATTTTCCACCATGTAGATCCTCGATCTCGTCGGCGCCGCTTGCTTGCACATTTATTCCTTGTGTTTGCTCATGGTTCCCTTGGGACATCCCAAGTCCCCGCCATTTTCCTGCACGCTAGCTCCATTTCTTTGTCCCGCCGGCGGTTCCGCCGACGTGTGTCCCATTTTCCGATTTTTATTATTTGGACCCATTTGGTCCCCGGCAACATCCCGGAAGGCGTCCCGTTTTTATTTCTTTGGGGCCCATTGCCCTTGGTGGTCCCATCATTTTTATATGTGTGCCAATTTTTCTAGGCCGTGAGATTTCTTCTCACGGTTGCCGTTTACCGTCTTTACTTGCCCCTTAACGAAATTGCTCCTTTCTAGCCTTTCCGGGCTTGCCGTAGCCCATTTCCTCTTGGCCTTGGCATCCTCATGCAGTCCATAATTTCTCGGACTGCAGTCATGGTTGTTTTCCACACCCACAACCCCACAACTTGCCCCATGTTAAAAGAAAATGAAGCGTTAAATTCTCTAGTGCATCCGGGCTCAATATTGGCTCCGGATGCACCTAGAACATGTGTTTTCTCTCCCCCATGCAGTCCGTCGCAAGTCGCACTGCAATGGGGGTTAATTCCTTAGCCCCAATGCCCCACAACTAGCCCCTACTCAAAAGAAAAAAAAACGGTCAATTCCCAAGTGCATCCGGCCTTGATTTTGGCTACGGATGCACCTAAAACATGTGTTTCTCCTCATGCATGTATTCCGTTTTATTCCAGTTGCAAAAGGCCTTGATTTTCTTTGATTTTCTCTGCATAAATCAAAGAAAATCCAAGTCCTTTGTAACCGCCATATTCCAGAATGAATCTGGTCACGGATGAATCTCCCCAAGTGACAATTTTTGACCGTTAAGGCCTTTTTCTCTTTTCTTTTCTTTTCTTTTCTCCTCCTTTCTTGGACAGTAGGGACCTCTGACTCTTTTTGTCTTATTCTCCCCCATTTTCTTTTCTTTTCTCTCTTTTTTCTAGCATGCCAAGTGCCAAGTGGCTGTTAAGGCCCTTTTCTAGCCTTTTCCTCTTAGTTTTGACCCTCTCTATGCCCAAGGTGCAGTCCGTTATTTCTCGGACTGCAATAATGGCCTTCCCATGCCCATGGGAGCCTCCTCTTACTCCTACATTTCTCCCACAATGGTCCCTCCTACTCTGATTTTCTCCCGGAGGGCTATTTTTCACATGGGGTCTTATTTGACTTTATTTTCTTGGGGGAGGCTGATCCGAGATTTTTCGGATTGCTCCCATGCCTCCCGCTTCAGTTTTCTTTACTTTTCCTTTCCCGTTTGGCCTCCCCGTTTGTCACCACTAGTACTTGCACTAGTGGTGCTAATAATCTTGGCCGTCAAGATGTCGATCTTGACGGTGCACCTTGCATTTATTATTTTTCCCTCATGCGGTGCCGCCGTTTCTTCTTGGGACTTTCACATGTCCCTGCCACTTGTCCCGTTGGTGGTCCCCGACACTTAGCCCGTCGGTGGTTCCCAACACTTAGTCCCGTCGGCGGCCCCCGACACTTAGTCCCGCCGGTGGTCCCCGACACTTAGTCCCGTCAGCAGTCCCCGACACATTTTGCCCCGGACGCCATTATTTTTACTTAGTCTCACGTGGCCCCAGGTGCCCTTCCCCGAGGTGTCCCACGCCCCTTGGGCGTCTCGTCGCCCCATAGCGACCTCTCTCCTTAGTCTTTCCTCGCGCCTTGTGCATGCCGATCTTTTTGGTCGTGGGCCTCCGCTCCGAGGCTCCCATAGGTGGCCCCCACGTTGGCCCCTCATTTCCTGGCTTCTCGCGGCTTCTGGCCGCCCATCCTTCGACTTCCTCATTCCCTTATTGCAATTGCTAGTTCAAAGGGCCCTTTGGCCTTAGTCTTATTGCATTCCGATAGCCCACCCGGCCTCCTGCTATGTTCTATGTGTCCCTGTTCTTGGGCTTGCTTGCTTGCCGTCGCTAGTTCTTTCCTCCTGTGGTTCTCTCCTCAGGGCATCACTCCCTTCTGCGGCCTAATCCTTTGTCTTTTCTCTCTCCTGCTTCCTCATTCCAGATTTCTCTGTTGTGCACAAATTGTTCGTATTCAATTTCTCGAGTGATGGGAAGTTATTCGGGACCCACCAGTCCCGACAACGGCGATAGTGGAACTGGTGAAATGCAAGGCGAAGCTAGTCTACGGCGAGTATACTGAGAATGGGAGCATCGCAGACTTGTTCCAGAAGTGATGAGTATTGAAGATGGAGTAGTTGAAGGAGGAGATGGTAGCACGGAGGGAGGTGGTTGAGGAGAAAGGGGGAAGGTTGAAAGCGGGGGAGGAAGATAAGCTTTTTAGATTGTTCCTCTTATGCGTGATATCCGGGAAATGCCCATGGGTGAAGAAATGGGTGGGGATCGTGAGTGGCAACGAAGGTGATGTATCAATCACGAATCCAGGTGTATATGTGTTAGTGAGCCCGTGGTGCAGACATTTCTATATCGGATGCACCTCCCGGGCCGTAATCAGGAGATGGGCTGATCACGTTAGTGAGGTGGTTTGGGGAGATCCCGGGAACGCACCAAAACTTCACGCGTGGTTACGTGTATTTGGTTGGTTTAGGTACTTAGCAATTCCGTTGGTCGATGGGGTAAAAGACCTCTTGGTTGTCGAATGGAATTTCATTAAGAGGTTTTCACCATCTTTGAATACTCAAGGGTTGGGAGGGGAAAGGTGGCGAGGAAAGAAAAAGAGGGCAGGGAAGAGGGAGAGAGGGAAGAGACTGCCGAACCCAGGTGGGGTAGCGATGATCAAGTTTAACAAGAAGGCATCGGTAATTGGAGTGCTCAGGGAAATGCGAGAGCGTAGGGGTCAGTAGTGGATCACATCCTCTGGAGGATCCGAGTGGATAGACAGATGAAAGATTGTGAGAATGAAGGTGGGCGAGACGACGATTTGGGTGAATGGGCAGGAGAAACCCATTAAGGATTGCAAACAGTACCTAGAGAAGGGTGGGAAGTTTCGGATAGGGAAGATCGGGGTGGTACCTTCGAGCATCGAACATAGGAGGTTCGTGCTGAGAGATGTGTTGAGAAAGCCATGGAGGATTCGAGGTTTGTATAAGAAAGGATCAAAGGAGCTTGTGGCACTATATCGAACAACGATGTTGTTCTCAGACAAGAAGAGTAGGAATTGTACGAAGTGCATCATTGCAAGGGTAGTACGGAGTAACTATGGGTACGAGATAAGGAAGAGACCGTGTGTGAGATTTTATTCTCCCCTCAAGTGAAGCGGGGAATGGTGAGAAGTTTGGCGGCCGAAGTGATTCTTGAGGCGATTGCCGATCAAGATATTGCCAGATTCGTGGCGGGGAAGGTAAGAGTGGTGGAGAAGAAGAGGACCACAGTCGGTATGGTTATTCACAATCACCGGAAGATCGCCGAGTGTGCTGCAGCGGAATGTAAGTGTGACCGACTTCAACTACCCAGGAAAGATGGGCATGTCAAGGTGCGTTTGAATGGTGTAGAAGAAGTGCCCAGCTTTATTTGGAATTCGAAGAACGTGACGAGGGGGAGTAACATATCTACGGAGCTCCTAAGGGCATGTATCATGGAAGGGGTCAAAGGGTGGACGAAAGGAAAGAAGCTACAAGTGTCGCTGGAAAATATCCATTGCTGTTTTGAGAGGAACGATGGAGGGAGAAGTGTTGCTATGTCTACAGCAGAAGTAAGGATGTACTTTCGGAGATTTGATGGCTTAGTAGCGGTTCCGATCGACCGGAACCCGGGAGCCGCGTTAGTTATCTGTCCGATACTATACTCTCGCGCTTGTTTGGAGACATTCAATCTGAGTGGCAGTTTCCGGATTATGCAGGACTCTTCAACTTTCGTGTTGACGGAAATGAAGAAGGAGTATGTTCACCGAGGGCTGGACAAGATTGCAAGATGGCAGACGGGTGGGAAGATCGGACAAGCGTACGTATTACCCAAAGACAAGGATCTGACTAGGTGGAGGCCGATATCACCGTGCACCTCGGATCCGACGAGATTGGCAGGCGCCAGGACAGGCAGAGCAATTAGATACATGTTGTTTGGTATTCCAGGAGCGGAGCACTTCGACCTCAGATCAACAGATAGTTTGGGAGAACAGACCAAGAAGTTTCAGCGGGACTTAAGCACGAAGGGAGACTGTGTTATCACCCGTAGCTACGACATTAAAGACATGTTCGCCAGACTGTCACATGAGAGTGTGATCGAGTCCGTGGAGTGGTTGATGGACTATCATAAGCAGAAGGGGTTGAAGGGGGTACGGGTAAGCACAAGGGGTAAGATGTGTTCCATGATCAGGAAGGTGAGGAAAGAAGAGGGATTCATCAGCTTGTCGTTCGATGACCTCAAGAGGGAGGTCTCGTTTGAGCTGGCTCACTCGTTCGTACGATGCGCAGGCGAGGTGATGTTGCAGGAATTTGGGATCCCGATGGGGAGAAGTTCCAGTCCTGCGTTGGCATGTACTGTGTGCGCGAGGGCGGAGTACGGGTTTCTGAATCGTATGAAGAACACTGGTGCGGTGATTAGGGGACTGAGGATGATCGATGACGTTGCGATTCTGATTGGCTGCAGGACGGACAGGCCGGATTCCATGGGGAGAGCAAGAAGAATATTGGATGAGTTCGAACAGTGTTATGACAAGAACATCAAGTTGGTACGAAAAGACGAGGGAGGCAATATGTTGGATTTCTTGGGGACTCGCATCTTCGCTGATATAGAGCCGGTAAGGATTAGCGTGCACCCTCGAACAAGGAATCAGGAAAGCCTTCTCAGAGAAGGAGTGCTGAGGGTCCAATCAATGCAGGATTATGCTTCTTTCTCCAGGAAGGCAGCAAAAAAAGCAGTTTTGTATGCCACATTGGTTCGTATGAAGCGGTTATCAAATTCAAAGGAGGCACTGAAGGCCTCGATTGCGGCTTTGATGATCGAGGTCAACCTCCGGGGATACCCCCCGGAGGTCTCTCTCGGAGCTCTGGCTAGGTTCGCCAGGGTGTCTGGTGGTCCGTGGGGAGTTTCTCTCTCCACAGAGTACCCCGGACTCCGCAGATATATGGGCCCGAGGGACTTGTAAATTAGTAAGCAGCAGGAGCACCCAGATGAGTGAAGGGGGCCGTGTAGGTAGGATGGTACTTGATATATGAGTAAGGGAAGAGTTGTGTTAATCTCAGAGTTTCGGAAAGAAAGAAAAAAAGGGGAAAGGAAGGGTGTACATGTGCATTTCAGTTTAAGGGTCTGTTCTTTGAAAGGGAAAATTTTGGTGTTTTTCGGAAAATTTTGTAATTGTGCCCAAGTTATGCAGTCTGTTTCTGAGTCTGGAACGAAGGATCTATTTTCCAGAAATAGGACCGGCAGGAGTAGGAGAAAATGGGACTGGGTCCTGCGCAAAATCTGAAGTGAGAGGATTCAGTGACTTCGGAGGGTCTCACGGGTAGAAGAGAAGAGGATCGAGTTTTCCAGAAATAGGATCGGTCGCAGACGAAGGTGGGATACTGTCTAAGACGGGAAAGACCGGATGACGGGGGAAGGTGTGCAGAGTTGGAGGAGAAGAAGGCGATGGAGACCGGCCGATAGAAGGAAAGGCAGGGTCGGTCTTTTCGAAGCACATAAGAAGAACGCGCGGACCAATTTTAGCAAAGGCGGACGTCAGAGATACAGGGTTTGGGCGACGAGACCAGACGGTCACCGGGAGATTGGTCAGAGAGTGTTCTGAGGATAAGTAAGTGGTGTGCGATGGATAGGGAAAACAGAGCGAAGGGACCGAGGGAGGAGGAAAGGGAGGGAAGTAAGAAAAGGCGGGGGAGGGGAAGCGTGAAGGGTCTCAAAGAGACAAGTTGGAAAAGAAAGAAAAAAGGAAAAAGGAAAGAGGAGAAAAGAGAGGGAGGGAACGGTGTCCAGCTGGGGAGTAGCCGGCGACCGAGGTAGGGTGTAGGAGAAAAGTAGAGTGAATGGTAATGTGCGTCCAAGGGGAGTAGGTGCTGATCAGTGATGCATATGGAGTATAAAAGGATGATGGCTCGAGGGTAGGAGCATCCCGGTTTGTTTTTTTGAGTCTTGTGTTTGCCTCCTGATGAGCCGCTGTGTACGCGAGCGGTGAAACGCGTAGGGGCACTGCGTACTGTGTGAGTTTTTTGGAGTAATGAATCGGGATTTCAGCCTCTTGATGGTCGGGAACTCGCGCTATCTGCTTCGCATGTGTGCTTTCTTCATCTATCTATGATTCACCTATCTCTTCTTCTCCTATATATCTCTCTTATTCTCTTATTCTCTCTCTCTCTGGCGGAATGGAGTCTGTCTACCTCGTCTAGCGAAGTCTCTCTCTAGAGGAGTGTCTCTCGCTCGTCAGACACTGGCAAAGCGATCCAGTGAGAACTCTGGTGCTACCGTGCCGGCGATTCTTCTCTGCTACAGTGTTCCACGATCATCTCGTCGGCCGGTGAGCGTGTCCCCAGTCCCCCAACCACTGTCCCATGAACCGCTTACATCTGTGGGGGTGCCTCGGCCCTACTGCACGGGAACCGCCCCACAAGAATCGTCGCACCCAGTTGCTGCACCAATCTCCAAATGTGCAAAACGAGACCAAAAACATTTCCACTTCTTTTGTCTTTTGTGCATGTGGAGAGTAGTGCAGCGAGGCCCCCAGTCACAGCGGAGTTTATAAGGCGCCGCCAAGCTGATTTTGCACGTGGGGATGTGGTTCAGGAGGCAGAACATGCCTGCAGGGCTCTGACCGTTTTTATGATACCCAAATTTATTTATTTATTTATTTATTTATTTTATGTTTTTATGTTTTTTTACTCATCGAGGGCCTACATAGTGACCACATCTGGTCCACCTATCCAAACTCTCCTAAGATTGACTGTTCCTGTGTGAGGATATGAACCTTGATGAAGGATATACCACTAACCTGCTGAGACTAATATAACCAACTACACAGTCAAATAAAACCCCACCTCTGACAAAATTGAGCATTGCCTAAAAGAGATCGTACTGAAAAAAGAGCCAGACCCTATTTGGACTTAGAAAATTTGAGAGAGCTTAGGGCCGAAAAAGGCGACCCAAAAACACAGATTGTTGGCCTAACATCGACCAAAACCCACACTGTACTCAAAGGTCTCGACGCCTGTTACCCAAGCTAATTCCTGTCAGAGCGTAGCCAGTCCGCAAAGGAGAGGGTACCCTCCGGGGAGGTAGATACTATCTTGTTGTTCTGCAGCCATGTCAGGGAAAACCAATACCGTCCTTTGCATGGATGGGCCCAATCTGTCTGATCAGAGACTTGATAGCCCCGATCTGTGCTTGAAAGGTGGTAGCTCTTGACTGAAGGTAGCCTTGTTGCAAGCTTTCCACAGGGTTTCCATTATAGCTCCTCGAGTGGTTAAGGCCACATATGCCCAGCCCTTTGTCCAGTCCGTCCCCTGGCGAGCCATGCCATGAAGCGACCATTCATGGGACCATTCAAAATCGTTTCCAGCTATAAACTTCCATCTCTCCTTCCACCATTCCCAAACTTGGAGGGAGAAAGGGCAGTAGAGCCATATGTGAGAAGCATTTTCCCATCCCCATTGGCATCGGGCACACTGTTCACTGATGTTCATACCTTTCTCAGAAAGCCACACTGCCGAGGGTGTTACCAATAAGAGTTGTAACCACATAATGCTAGCCTGCTTTTGGAAGACCAAGCTTTTGAAGGCTCTCCACAGGCCAAACAGATCCATGTTGCCCAATGTGAACCCAGGTTCTTTCACTAGCCTTTCGGAGGCTGTGATAATCGGTTGTTTCTTGACTGTAGCTCTCAGGACCTGCACACCCAATTTAGTATTATAGGATACCGCTGGAGAGAAGTTCTCAGATCCAGCTTGGCTAATCCATCCACATAGTAGAGGTTCCACATGAATATTCGAAATATCAAGTAGGATCAGAATAGCCTTTTCCTCCTCTCCTACTAGTTTGTACAGGACTCTGCATTCCGTCAGATCTACCGTCGTCGGGATGACCTTTTCGCCCGAAAGTGCCAGGGGAGTCCCTGATGATGTCGGTGGTTTGCGAGACCAGATTTGGACACTTATACCCTGCGGAATCTCTGGGCCTAAGACCCTGTATACTTCTTGTCTCTCATCCGGGTCTAAGAGCCAGGCCCCTTGCCCGTACTCAGCAGCAGAGGGGAGGAGGGTCTTCCAGTAGGAGGGGATACAGTTTAGAAGTAGACAGTAGTTCTGCTCAACATTCCATAGTCTGTGGAGCTTGGACTTGATTTGGTCTGTAGTTAGCCAGTCATCCACCAAGGGATCCCAGACATCCCTGATTTGAGTAATTCCTCTCTCTACCCAGGCCCTGCCAAAGGAGCCTTTTGAACCATCTGCCTTCAGCGGAGTGCCCTCTGTGGATTTAATGTATTCATTTTCGAACAAAATTTGATTGAGAACTTCTCCTCGTGTGTGTGTGGGGGGGACCAAAACTGAGGAAAGAGTTTTTGCCATGCAAACAGTATGTTACGCCAGACTTTTGATTTTGGTCTCCTATTTGTGTAGGATCGAATGAAAAGGCAAATCCATACATCAGAGTGTCGGGACAACTTCCATTCTTTTGATAGAATATACTCTGCTATCTTGACCCAGAGTTTGATGTCCAAATTTCACAGCCCCGATATTTTATTCCACGTATTTAGTGCCGCTCAATGTCACACTGGCTAGGAAACCGAACCGATTCGCTGGCAGTGGGACTTGGCCCCCGCAGGCGCCACGGATGTGGAGCGCCACATTCCATGAAAACAAAACAAAACAATAACGTGAGCAAAAGACAAAAAGAAAAAAAAGTGCCACGGGACTCGTGGTGCCCGTGGTGCAACGGGCAGTCGGCAGACAAGCAAACGGCTACCCCCTGCCATCCGACAGTGGGGCAGCCCACTTCCGTTTGGCTGCGTTCACAACCACGCTTTGCTCCTGGAATGGTAGTTGGCTCGTTGCCGCCAGTGCATTCGAGAGTAGAATGAAGGTGAAGCGGACAACGAGCACGACCGGCATAAGGGGGGGGGAGAGAGAGAGAGAGAGAGAGAGAGAGAGAGAGAGAGAGAGAGAGAGAGAGAGAGAGAGAGAGAGAGAGAGAGAGAGAGGAGAAGCGGACGACGAGCACGAGCGGCATACAGGAAGGCGGAGAGAGAGAGAGAGAGAGAGAGCTGTCTCTTATACACATCTAGATGTGTATAAGAGACAGGTTTGCCTCCTGATGAGCCGCTGTGTACGCGAGCGGTGAAACGCGTAGGGGCACTGCGTACTGTGTGAGTTTTTTGGAGTAATGAATCGGGATTTCAGCCTCTTGATGGTCGGGAACTCGCGCTATCTGCTTCGCATG